GGTATTAGCTCCCGAGTCCTCCCAACTCCCAAGTCCAAAGATGTGCACTTGCATTTGTCAAACCTGATGATGCTTTAGTTCTCTTGTTTCCACGAACAAGCAGAACATTTACTGTGAGAAATTACTTACAACTCTATATGGTTATAGCCCACAAAGCCCGCAATTCCTGCAACTACATTGCCTCCATCAGTGGCATGAATACGTACCCTGCCAAAGCCCACAGAGCCAGCATTTTCCAGCACATTGCCATCCATGCCTAACGTGCCTGCAACTGTGAAATTGACACTGCCTCCCTTGCTGTCTGCCTAAAGTGCCTAACATCCCGACCGCTATTCTTTCCATTCCTTACCAACCATTCCATGTAATTGCCAAGATTTCTTTCCTTCTCGCTACCCCCATCTAAAAACTAACCCGGATGATGCTGATGCTAGCATATATATCAATTTGGCCTATTTGTAAACAATTTGATTCAGAAGAGGCTGAATTCGTGGCAGCTAGCATATATCAATTTGGCAGGGTTCTTGAGTAATCAACACCTAGAAATAAATTCTGGTAGGCTTGTGTTACGAGGGTTTCCGTGTAATGCATGCATGGGACTTGTGTCAGCTGCTTGGAAGTCAATCCTTGAACGGTACACTCTGTTTTGCATGCTCAACATACTAAATCGAGAAATGTCACCCAAAACAAAACAAAACAAAAAATTCCATTAGATGAAGTAGACTCGTTTGGTTGTTTTTCCTTGGGATGACTTTATGAAGCTTCCTAATAATAGGTTTGGTTTTTGAATGGTTTGCTGTTGTTAATAAAATAATCTTAATGGCCAATTTGTAGTAGTGTTTTGTATTGCATATGAACATGATTTGTCATGCAAATCAAGCCATTTATTTTGTTAACAGAGTCAAAAGAGATTATTCTACACAATGCCCTTCCTATCCCTAACTGACACATAATTGAGATGTTGAGCAATTTAAACTTTAAATTGTGCATGGATTTGTGAAAATGTTTGTCTATAACTAACTGTGTGTTTGGAACTCAAAACATTCTCTTCTTGATGTGCCTTCTTAAGTTAGTTCTTTTGGCATAATTTTATGAATTGTTTTATTTATTTCGCAAAGTTACTTAAATTTTGATTGGAGCATTCAAGTGCAAAGTGCAAATGTTAAGAGCAAAGACGAACATGACAAGTAGCAGATGTCAAATTAAAAAAAAAGAAAAGAAATCCAGGCATGGGATTGAAGGACACTTGAAATTCACATCATCAAATGATGACTGAAACTTTTTATTCCTTGCATATGTGCTAAGTACAGAAGCACATGTACTAAGTATTTTATTTTTGTCATAAGATCAACATTCAACCATGTAGTTATTCATGCAAACTAAGTTGTACATGGAAGTTTCCTTGATTTATGGCTTGGCTCAGTTCTCATTTTGTACCAAAGCTTGAGCTTCTTCAGGGTTGTAGCAGCACCTGCAATATTTGCCATAGCCACCACAACAGCCGTAGCTGCAGTGCCCACCATATCCACCTCCACCACCATGACCACCTCCCCCACCATGACCACCTCCATAGCCACCACCGCCGCCGCCTCCATAGCCACCTCCATGGCCGCCACCACCACCTCCATAGCCGCCGCCACCACCATGTCCACCGCCTTCATTGCTATTGATGTCAGCGTTTACTTGGGTTGCTTCAGCTTCATTAGCTACATGGAGTGGACAACACAACTTTTTAAGTTACAAGTACTGTTCATGCATTTAAATCCTGTTTCTTTGAATGGTGCAACTATTACCTGTTCTGCAACACCTACTACAACCATAGGGGCCCCGACGACCACAGCAGCCATATCTACACGGACCTCCATATTGTTCGGGTTCCTTAGCCTCGTTCTCCTTCGCGTCGTTCTCTGCAAACAACGGCCGTCAACCACACAAATTTTTGTAATTCATCCCATAATTTACACTAATAACTTACATATATCAGATGATAATTCCATTGAAAGACAATAAAATTCAATTTTGTAATTAAAAGTGAATATAAATAATTGAATCGTGGTTCTAAAATAAGAAAATCAAGTAACATTTAATGATTGAAATGATAGTATAGGCAAAAGTTTAAGGAAATACAACAGAAGTATATACAGGCATAGCAAGGCCACATGCAATAGCTACTAAATATTGGGATGCACTTACCCCTTTGTTTCATCTTTTGGGTTATCAGCAGACCATAGTAGCAAAAACAAGAAGAGATAGAGCACATAGAAGAGCAACTAATATAAACGCTCTGGACTTCATTTTTTTTAAGCTTCTGGTTTACACAAGAGAAACTGTAGACGTTGTGGCAATGCTAGTCCATTTTAAGCACTATTTATAGTGAATGAAACTAGAGGGATATAATGATACGTGCATGAGAGCAAGATACTTTGATGAGGATACGACGTTGTTCTATATTATCAGTGCGTACAAAATGCAGTACGCTGGGTTCTTGGACTTTTCTCAATCTGGAATGCAGTTTCTAAGTTCTTAGATGAGTTTTCAAGATGTGATCTGGAAGAAATATATAGTTAAAGGGCTTAAATTGCGACAGGTGGCAAGAATAGCGTAGCGTACACCAGGAAACTGATTTCGCAGTGGTAACACTATATTACGAGGTTGTCTTAGCAACTGCACGCATGGAACTTGTCAGGTGCTTCGAAGTCAACTCTCGTTTTCAGCTTTTACTTTTGAAACACACACATACTATAACCGTATAACGGGAAAAGTTGAGACAAAAGTACATCCGTTCGGGTTTATTTGGATGAGTAGTGAAATAGCTAATAATAGTTCAGGCTTTTCAATAGCTCTTTTTTGATGTCAATCAAATGGGACTGGGTATGATTGTGTTAGCTAGGTGCGATTTTATATCCATTTAAATCCTGTTTCTTTAAATGGTACAACTATTACCTGTTCTGCAACACCTACTACAACCATAGGGGCCCAAACGACCACAGCAGCCAAACCTACACCGACCTCCATATTGTTCGGGTTCCTTTGCCTTGTCCTCTGCAAACAAAAATTGTCAACCAGTCAAACTTTTGTAATTCATCCTATTATCCATACTATTCATTAACGGAGATCGTATGATATATCTATTGAAAAATAAGAAAATCAAGTTAATGACCGATGGAAATCTTGCAAAAACATAAACATAGCTACTTGGTACTAGTATTTTCTTACCCTTTGTTCCATCCTTGGGTGAATCAACAGCCATAGTGGAAGAAACGAGAAGAAATAGAGCACATAGAAGTGCAACCAAAATAAACGCTCCGGACTTCATTTTTCCTGTGCTTTCTGGCTTACAAAAGAGAAACTGAAGATGTTAGGAAAATACTAGTTCATTCAAGCTCTATTTATAGTGAAGGAAACCAGAAGGATTTCATGATATGTGCTTGAAGAGCATGATACATTGATTAGAGTATGACGTTGGTGTCTAGATTATCAGTAGAAAATTGCAGTGCGGTGGGTTCTTGGCATTTTCTCAATCTGGACTTATGGTTTCTCAGGTTTTAGATGAGTTTTTGACATGTGATCTGGAAAAATTTCATGGTGAAGGGGCTGAAATGGTGACAGGTAGCAAAAGTAGTGTACACCTGGAAACTGATTTCGCAATGGTAACAGTACATCGCATGGAACTCGTCAGCTGCTTCAAAGTCCCCTCTTGTTTTCAGCTTTTACTTTTCAAACACACACATACCATAATGGGAAAGTTAAGACCAAAAATTCAAAGGATGATGTACATCCGTTTGGATTTCTTTGGATGAGTTGCGAAACTTGCTAATAATAGTTTAGCATTTTTTATAGCTCCTTTCTGATGCAGATAAAATGGAAATGAGGCAAGTCCCATTGCGGTAGGTGCAGTTCTATACAATTGTATTTGTTACATATTTTGATGCAAATTTACGTCATGCGAGCCATATTTTATTTTTTCTGTACGTTTTGTTCTTTTGCACTCCATCTGCTAAGAAATTCAGTGCAATAACTTATGTAAATGCATACCATATCATATTATGTAAAAATCGAGTCTGATAATATCAAATCACACAATACATGTACCATATCCTAATAAATTATATAAAAATCGTTGAAGTGTTCAACATATTTAAATATGTTAATGAGTTGCTTGCACAACTACGACCTAACAGCTCTGGAAGTTACACCAATTAAGAGGATCCAAACTCGTCATTGCTTGAACACGCGGCATGTGTATATTAACTGGTGAACAAAATTCTCATTTAAACCAAAAAACATAAAAAATTTTAATCTGTTTTCAATTAACTACTGTGATATAAACAGCTATCCCGGATACTTATCAAAGATGTGATGACAAGATTTACATCCAGACTATAAAAGTGCGCGAAAAGTAAATCCTCTCATGTTTTGCTTGTCTATCTCTCAAAAAAAAATTTTTTTTTTGGGGTTTCCAAGATGAAGTTCCATCAACTTTGACATGAAGCCTGATTTCAATCTAGACAAGTATGTTGCACCGGAATGCTTGGATTGTAAAAGGACTGAATTGCTGCTGGCCCAGTATACAGTTGTCGGTGATATTTCAGTGCTTTTGTCTGGAACTTTCTTTTTTTCACCCGGAAACCAATATATATATATATATATATATTTTCCTGAAAGCAATATCATCTAACAGAATCGCGTTTTGCCAGTAGTCGTTTGTGTTTTCGTTCGCAGCCTTAGATTCGCATTTTATTTTCGTCTTTCAGAAAAAAATCAATTAATTCAAAGAATGTAACCAAAGAGCCGCTTTTATGTTGTTGAGATAAGATTTCTGATGGCTGTCTGTCAAATCTTAACCAGATACTCAGACCCCGTGAAAGAAAGGTTCAAATAATACGATCATAGTATGAGTAGCAGAGATCCAATAATACAATCATAGTATGAAGAACAAAGATACAGCAACGCAATCATAGTATGAGTAACATTCGACTATGGCTGGAGCCACCAAAAAAAAAAAAAAAAAAAAAAAGAAATGATCGCTAATCTTCATGGATTTCGAGACTTCCCAGTAAAGAAATGATGATAAATAATCGAAGTGCTTCGTTTTCAATGTCTAGCTTGATGGTGGTGGTGAGGGGAAAGGTAAAGTAGGAATTGTAGTAGGAATAGATGGAATGGAAGGCAAAGTTGGAAGCTGAGTGCTTGGCAATGGCGGAAATGTGGGCTTTGGCAGTGATGGAAGATTTGTGGGTAATGTGGGCAAAGGGGTAGCTGGCAATGGTGGCAATGTGGCTGTAGGGAAGCTTGGCATGGTAGGCAATGGAGGCAACTTGGGCAACGATGGCATTGTAGGTATTCCTGGCGTCGTCTGCAGAAGGTAGCGAGCTGCGTTAGAAACCTTGATGCTTGAAAATGATAAAGCTAGGATCAAGGATAGAACAAAGCAAACTTTGGAAGAAGCAGCCATTGGTAAATGATATTGTATTGGAATTTAGAAATTAGCAAACACTTTTTTAAGTGTTACGACAAGTACAAGATGGGTATTTTTTCTGGTTTTGAGTTGAGGGACTCGCATATTGTTTCTTGACTCTTATTTATAGATAGCCATAGAGGTGAAAGTGTTTGATCGAATGTAGTTGGATTAGTAGAATTAGGTTTAGTTGGCCTTTCTCAACTAAACTTTGAATTAGTTTGGAATTAGAATGCTGATGAACCACCAACAGTTTATGGTGTGCAAGTGTACACTTGGTCGATTCGATTGCATCAACATTATTAAGAATTCCCTCACAGAATCTGATATGGGGTAAGGTCAATACAGGAGAGGAACTTGAGAGGAAAATCCAATCGAACAGCAGCGATACTGAGGCCAGACCTGGCCAACACTTGACAAGGAGAAGAAAAAAAAAAAGAGTAGTTCAACTGTATTTGTGATGTGAAGTTGTCCTCTTAAAAAAAAAAACAGCTTACTTTTCTATTTATTTTTAATTTTTTTTATAATAAGGGAAGGTTGGAATTTAAAAGAGGTAGGGGAAAGAGTACATGTCTCGGTTCAATCTAGAACAGAAATTATTTTTTAATGATCATATCAGTCCATCTCTATAATCTTAATTTCAACATTTGATATGAGCAGTAAAAAACACCAATAATCTCATCATAGATTGTCTTTACAAAACATTCTCATACTACCACAAGCAGTCTCATACTAGATTGTCCTCATTTGATAAACAAACCAATAAAGCATTAGACCAAATCTTTGAAATGATCGATCCAAGCCTACTTCCAAGGCTTGCATAAATAACCAAAATTGGTACACTAATTAGTGCCAGTGCATTTCTTGGTATCAAAACATAAATATCCCTCTGTATAAAATTCTTGGTATAAATTTCTGGTAGACCTAAAAGTCGTGAAGGAATCAAACAAGCAATTTATATTTCATGTACTAATCTAGTGTTTGCAGGATATTATCCCTCGATCTGTATCTTGAGAGCTTCTCATTTCATACTAATCTCCTATTATTTAGTCGAAGTAAAAATCCTTGTATTAATACTACTACAAATAATAAAAATGAAAGGGATTAATGGTCAAATCAAAGCATGAGCGACATTCCATGGAAATAATTTCGAGAACGTACATATATATAACTTGCACGAAATATTCAAATTAAACTACAAACAGACATGAGCAGTCCTTGTACTGCAATGCACTTTGGTTTATTTCCTATTATTTGCATTACAGACTTGGTCACAAGATGCAAGGTACAACATTTGACTTATCAAACATTTATCTGAACTTCGAAATATGTCGAAATTGAGGATTTTATTTAGATTTTTCATGTAGAGAAAGCAGATCTCGCGTTTCGATTCCAAGTTCCAACCATGAATTATCTCGAACAATCACTTCAGGGTTTGAGGCTACACATATGCTGGCATACTTTTTTTTTTTTTTTTTTTTGAATACTGCATCGCAATCATCATCATCTTCGCATATTGGGTTGTCAACAACAAGAGTGATTACTGCATGTTCAATCGTCTTCAGCGGAACTTCGCATTCAGTCTGAAGTAATTTTCTTGAGATAATTGTGGCCATTTTCACGTCCATCCCTTGAACCATTGGCGATGACAATACTGCAATTAAATCCCAAAAAAAATCGTCAGATGAAAAGCCTTTTTACCAGTCCTTTTTTTTTTTTTAAAAAAATGTGTTGAAAGAAGAAAGGAAGTATAGATTTGAACCCGTCACTTCTAGCTAAGAAGCAAAATCATGTTACCCGAACTTACCCCAAAAAAAAAAACAAAAAATCTAGTGTTACTAAATATATCTGAAGGGTCATCACGGCTGCAACGCATCTTTTAGTTGTTTTAGAGTTTTTCGTGTGTTTTGTTTTCTTTTTAGGTTAAACTTTTGTAGTTTATAAATAGGTTTTTTCCAGGACTTTTGTAACAAGTCTTTTATCAACTATTAATGAAATTTTAATTGGATATTCTAATTGTTGAAAGTTATCTCACATTTCTTATGAATCACTGATTCATACCTAGATTTCATTTGTGTAATAATTTTCTGATGGAGGGTGTTCGTGTAACCCCTTTATTTTTCACGCTTTTGCTATGGCATCACTTTTTTTTTTCTTTTTTGGAAAAATATGTTATTTATCTCTTTAAAACGAATCTTTTGGGTTGTTCGGATGAATTCAGCTCTTAATGCAAGTGGTTTAGTAGTGTTGTTTCACTACTAAATCAAGATTTTATTGGCAAGAGAGACTTAATAAGGTAATTAATCATCAAAGACTTTTAAGTTTTTTTTTTAAGTTGAAACTTTAGACAGCTGGTGAATCTAATCTTTGTTTTTTTTTTTTTTTTTTTTTTGTGAAGTGAATGTAGTCTTTATTGGATAGAATTTTCATTCTTTAAAAAAAAAAATACACCTATATATGAAACTAGTTCAAATTCCGCAACATTTTCCCAAATGTTTGTACATTAACACATCATGAATTTCCAATTTATTTGTGCAGATGATAGAACTTACATATTGAAACTCTTCATTATGTCCATCCCAAGACTTCCTTTTTTTTTTTTTGGGAGTACACCATTTTAAGCGTAGATGTATTCTGGTATAACGGTTGCTGTAGATCCCAAAACTAAACTTTTGTATCCCACATTCGTATCTATGACTTAAAGTAATGTTTAGAGTTGGCAAAAGAAACAAACATAAGTAAAAAAGTTGCTCGTTCATAGTATCAGAGAACTCATCATAATTCATAACATAAACAATCGGAATACAATGTCCAAGGCACAATACGGGGACTACAACCCACCAAAGGAAACAATCACATGAAATCCAAACTCCGCCTACTTCATAAGATCCCTAGCTAGACGGACTAATAAAACTGTAAAAATTTCAAGTACAAGAAATCGTATCAATAAGCAATCTGAAGGAACGACAAATATGCAAATTCAAACACTGAATCGTGTTCATGTCTAACATGGTCTAGTTGGATGGCGGTGGAGAGAAGAATGGAATTGTAGGAATCGAAGTTGGCATATTATTTGGGATAGAAGGAATTGTGAATGGAATGTTTGGCAATGAAGTTGCAGCTGGAATGGGAGGGAGGGCCACCTTAGGAATTGTGGGCATAGTTGGCAATGTGGGCTTTGGCAAAGGTGGAAGATTTGTTGGTAATGTTGGCAAAGGAGTACTTGATAATGGTGGCAATGTGGTAGGCAAATTTGGCAGGGTTGTACCAGGCAATGTTGGTATTGCTGGTATCACTGGTGGGGAAGTTTGCAATAGTTGGCGAGCCGCCTGGCTTTCTTGGATGCTCGAAAATGATAAAGCAATGAGGAAAGCTAGAAAGAAGCAAACATTGGAAGAAGTAGCCATTTTGAGCACTTGTTTGATTAATGTAGAAGGTAGAAGCTTCAAATTGAATCCGTAGGGGATGAGCAGGTAGATGATGCTTTTTATAGGAAGCAATGGTTGGTCAGATGTAGTTGGACAAGTTTGAAGAAGCATTGGTTGGTTTGCCTTCTCAACTAAACTCACTTATTAGAAACTCAGATTCCTCAACAAAAAATCTACCAAGTAAATAATAAGTACATGTGTTCTACCTGGGATGGAATTTAGACCGCAAATTTGAATTGGTAATCCAAGTTTGGAAGAGCGAGTACAAGTTAGGAAAAGTTCATAGAAAGAATGGGTTTCAAAAAATTGGCAATTTGTATTATGGGCTTCTAAGGTTAATTAACAATCTTGTTCGACTGAGAAGTAGCAAATTTCTGTTTTATTATCTGAAATTTTGCAACCTCGTTTTATTATTTAAAAAAAAAATTTTTGGGCCACTAAGGTTGTTTCAGTTTGCTTTTTGGATGATCTTGGATCACAAATAATCTACAATCCATCATTACTCCAGCAGGTCAGTCTCGTATCATGGGTATCGAACTCAATACAACATTTATGTGAACCAAGAAATATAGAAATTACCAAGATTTGGTCTATACTGATTAAATAGAAAGAGAACATCTTCTGGTTCAATCTAGACCAGAAGTAAATCCATACATTGACAATGAGTAACTAACACACCAACAATCTCATCCTACTATCAAACAAGGAGAACATGGATTACCTAATTTGACTAATTGGAATAAGGTTTTATTGTTTAAACGTATCTGGCACATAACACTTAAAAAGGATTCTCTTTGGATTGCTTGGGTTCACATTGTGAAACTCAAAAATAAATGTTTCTGGTCTATTTCATTGCCTCAATTTTGTTCTTGGGTTTGGCATAAACTCCTTCAAATCAGACCTATTATACAGCCCTTTATTGTCTCAGTGATCAAAAGTGGAGAAAATACTTCTTTGGTATGATAATAGGCACCATAGAGGGCCATTATTCACAGCTTATGGGCCCAATATGGTGCGATAGTTTGGAAGTACGCCACAAGCTAAGGTTTTTTCTATCATTGAAAATAGAGAGTGGAAGATCCCTGCTGGTAGGAGGAGACCTGTTGAAGTAGATGATTTTGCACAATTTCTTCCTTCTAGATAGTTACTAAGCGAGGGAATGTCAAATATAGTGAAATGGCTGCCCAGTAAATTAGGTTTGTTCTCTGTCAAATCTGAAAATGAAGGGTTGAACCATTTCGCTACTGAGGTCTATTGGCATCATCTTGTGTGCTTCAAAAAATATATCCAAAACATTCATTTATCTTGTAGTTGTTGTGCAAGAACAAATTAAGCACAAAGGACAGGTTGGTTAAGTGGGGCATTATGTCTGAAATGAGATGTGTATTATGCTATACTGGAAATGAATCTTGTAATCATCTCTTTTTTTAATGTGAGTATGCAACTTATATTTGGTCAAGAATACAGCAATGCCCCACTTGCAATACGCGGAACTTATGAATGGCATACTGAAGTTAAATGTCTCAGTTGTCATTGGAAGAAAGAATGCTTTATAAACACAGTAAAAAAGTTGGCACTAGAGGCAGTTGTATATTATATATGGAAGGAGATTCGCTCTTATGTGGCATAATGGAGGAATGTATCGAGTACAAGAGACAACTGGTTATTTTGCTTTAGTTGGGATTTCCCCAAGGCATTTTTCTTAAATGTTGATAGCATAATCGGAGTTTAGTTCATTGTAGCAGTACTATTGTATAGCTTAATTGGTTTTAGTAGTACTTTTGTGTAGCGAATACCTCTGCACTTGTGTACATTCATGTTCTATTCAATAAAATCCCTTTTTACGTTCGGAAAAAAAAAAAATCTCATCCTACTATTTTTATTACAAACAAACTCTTACTACCAAAGAAACCAGTAACCAGTGCACCAAACCTTTAAAATAATTGTATTACACGCCTCTTATCGTTTGCCACAATGCTTGAATTTCGTCCAGGCAACGACTAACTTGAATACAATTACCATTATCGTCACATCCCTCTATGGGAGTCAGAGCACAACTAAAACCTATGCATGTGCAATCCGCATCAGAGCCACAAGGAATTGCACAATCCTGCTGAAGTTTTCTTGAGATGCTTGTTGCCAGTGATTTTCACTTCCATGGCTTTCATCACTGGAAAAGATAATACTGCAATTAAATCACATTAGGGGAAAAAAGGTTTTGTTAGATGAAAAAGGGTCTTTTTACCTGTGCTTTTTTCTTTAAATGGAAAAGGAACAATGTTTTAGTAGGGGAAATAAAAGTGTGGATTTTGAACCCGTGACTTCAAGTTCTGAGGTAAGAATCCTAGAGAAACTCACAAATTGGAAGAATGAAGAGAGCAAATAAGAGAGCGGGCTTGATTGAAGCCTTCTCCATCTAGTATCCACTGTCGTTGATGAGCAGTAGAAACTAATTTCTGTATGCATGAAACTAGTCTATTTCAGGTGAATTTATAGGGGATAAACTCAAACTGGAAATGGATTCGACAAATGAGGATTGATCGAGAATGTGCCAAATAGGTCTTTCAAATTCGGTACAATATAAAAGTTTCCATAGCGGGCAGAATCTCACGTTAGGAACTTAATCCACAAGAAACCATATAATGTTAATATGTGAATAAATTTAATGTAAAGAAAACACACGAAAATTGAACAAACCGCTTCGCTTTTGATTTTTTTTTTTTTTTTCCAATTCATTGGCCAGTTTCAACAAGTCACTGCTTGACCAAAAGTACAACCAGATAAAATCAAAACCAAAGAGTAATACAACCGCTGGAGACCAAATTAATAGAGTAAGATGACGGATGTTCACGAATCACAAGCACAAGTTTCTGATTCAGATTATCTTTTTTGTTTGTTCGGTCTCAGAATATGAGTAATTAAGATTTCCACATTTGATGATACTTTATGATACACAAACGTATCAAAAAGTGCTTACCACAAAATATAATCCTAGTCCAGGGTTTTTTTTTTTTTTTTTTTTTTTTTTTTTTTTTTTTTTTTTTTTTTTACTTCTACTACGATCCCACCATTAATTTAATCTTTACTAAAAGGAATTTAGGCTACAGCAACTAAAGTTCCAATAAACCATGTACCTAAACAGACAAACTTAAGGCTCCTAACAAAGCATTAAGCCTTTAACCGTATACCAAAGACAGATAGAGCTTAAAGAAACTCAAACAAAGTGTATGATCATATAAGCTTGGAGAAATTGAAACCAAGCGACCTAATAAATATATATATATATATATTGAATCCAAGTGTGGGATCATACATTTGGCTAAACGCTGACATTTTAGTAATTTGGAGTTTGCAATTATTATATCCATATTAATACTTTTTTGTTTTATTTTTTGGACGTCTGTATCAAATTGCTGAAACCAGCATAGCTTGGTTGTCTGTCGTCTATACCTATTGTGGACATTGATTGAGATTAAAGACCTAAAGCAGCATATTTCCACCATGAATAACTAAAGAAAGAAGTATACCCCTTGGGACTGGAGCTGACTCCATTACTTTTGAGATGTTATTTGAGAGAGGGGAGGGATTGAGGTATATTGGTTGAGGAAACCAAAGTAACAAAGGATTTGGGCAGATATGCTTGATGGCAAAGAAGGAGCATCTCGTGTGTGTGGTTTTTTTTTTTTTTTTTTGTTGAGGTTTTTGGGCTGGTAGATTATGGCTTGCGTGGTGTTGCAGCATCTCATTAGAAATTTTTTTTTTTTTTTGGGCAGGTAATTTGAGAAGCATCTGTTTGCCATGCTTTTGGCAATGATGGTGGTGACGGTGGTAAAAATGGATAAAAGTACCATAGTGCTGACAAGAAAACGGGGAGGGTTGGGGAATTTGGGTGAATAATTTTCTGGTTTTTTATTTTGTAAACAGCCTGTATCTTAGAAAAGGGTTATGATACTCAATTCAAGTTAGCAATGTAGGTGGGTTTAATTATCCAAATTACAAGAGAGCACTGCCTGAAATCGTTAAAAACTTTAAAGAAGGTTTCTAAAATTGACCTTAAATTAAATTTTTAGATATGATGAATAATAGCTGAGTCGTGAGAATGTAATTTACAAAATAAAAAAGATCGTCTGATTTATGTTATATTCTTATTAGACAAACAGTTAGATTGACGTGTGTTGCATATAATCATGGATAAGAATCCAAGTTCTTTTGATTAATGTGTTGTGGGGATGCATGTCATTTTAAAAAGTGGAATAATAAAGTGTAACGAGAGGTGTAATATAAGGCCTCAAGCCAACGAAAGATAGATGAATAAATGAAAGTATCAAGAAACAACAAACAAGAAACTCCTACATGGTATCAATTAAGAACTAGTTATAACATAAACAATCGCAATACAATCTCAAAAACAAACCAAACTCCGTCTACTTCATAAGATCCCTAGCTATATAGACGGACTAACGAAACTGTAAAAATTACTAGTACATGAAATCGATCGTATGATAAGCGATCTGAAGGAACAACAGATATGACAAACTCAAACATTCAAATATCGAAAATTGTCTAGTTGGATGGCGGTGGTGAGAAGAAAGGAATTGAAGGAAATGAAGTTGGGATATTAGTTGGGATTGGAGGAATTGTGGATGGAATATTTGGCAATGAAGTTGCAGCTGGAATGGGAGGGAGGGCCACCTTCGGAACTGCGGGCATAGTTGGCAAAGATGGAAGATTTGTTGGTAATGTTGGCAAAGGAGTACTTGACAATGGTGGCAATGTGGTAGGCAAATTTGGCAGGGTTGTACCAGGCAATGTTGGTATTGCTGGTATCACTGGTGGGGAAGTTTGCAATAGTCGGCGAGCGGCCTGGCTTTCTTGGATGCTCGAAAATGATAAAGCAATGAGCAAAGACAGAAAGAAGCAGACATTGGAAGAAGTAGCCATTTTGAGTACTTGGATTGAATACCGCAGAAGGAAGAAGCTCGAAATTGGATTTGTAGGGGAATAATATATGTGTTAGTATGTTGTTTGAGTTGAAGGGGGAGGTAATGCTTTTTAGTTTTTATAGGGAGCAATGGTTGGCTAGATGTAGTTGGACAAGTTGGAAGAATTACTGGTTGGTTTGCTAGCTCAACCAATTCCACTTTTTCGAAGTTCAGAATTCTCATCAACAAAAGTCCACCGAATACATAAATAATGTGTATATATGATATGGAATGACCTGCCAGTTGCCAAGTGCCAAGCTCATTTTTGACAACTGAAATAGATGAGAGGATTTTGATGGACAGGACGTGGTTGTGAGAAGCCAGCATAGAAAAATGTCGATGAACTAACTCCAGACTAGGAAGGATAATGATGTGAATCCTTCTATTTACCTTTAGTTATTAAAAAAACTTCAAAATTTTTAAAATTGGTAACATGATTATAAAATAATTTCGAAAGCCACTTTCAACAAGGAACAAAATAGTTCTTGTACGCATATTACCATAATTACCTAGCTAAGAAAACAAGCATTTTTAAAACTAACTCATCATTTGCCAAAGTTTGTTGTGAGTTTGAAGTTAGTAATTTAGGGCCAGCAGCCTGAGTACTCGTTGGGAAAAGACCTGGCCGAGTGGATGGGGGGTTTTTTTTTTTTTTTGAAAAGTTAGAAAATTAGCGCTTTGGGTTTTGGGCTTGTAAAATTATATAGTGTATATTTAAGTGGTACCTAATGGATTGTCATTAAGATAGAATTTAGGAGTTCATATTTTTAAAAAGTAAAAAGTTAATTAAGAAAAACACATATATGTAAAATATAAAGTAGGATAACAATTGTTAATTAAGTGTATTATCAAGCATCTATTGCACACTCTTTAATTATATATATAAAAAAAAAAACTTTCAGACCAGGGCACTACTGGAGGTTGGTCTGGTCCGGTCCGGTTTGTTCTGGTCCAGGTTTCTTTTTTCTTTTAAATTTTCTTTGGGTAGGCAAGTAAATGCCATGTCCTCACATCCACGTACATAGGATGATCCTGAAGTGAGGCTAGTAAATCTACTCTCTTAATTAATTAAACTGCGATGTGAATGTCATTTTTTTGGGAATTATAGTCGGAATTAGTTAAAATTTTAATTAAGAGGACAAGACACTTTTGACTTGATATAAAATTTATGTCAACTTAGCAGTATAGAAAGTTCAAGATTTGGTCTATACTGATCTAATAAAATAAGTACATCTTCTGGTTTAATCAAGTCATTTTCGAATGATCAGATTACATTACATACATACAAACACCCTTATTAAGTACACCATTATTGTTGGCCACCTTGGTTAATTAAGATTGCCAAAATTGATTTGAATATAATAACCATTATCATCACATCCGGGAGCACAATAGAAATCAGTGCATTTGCAATCCGCATCAGAGCTACAAGGATTTCCACATTCAAATATCTGAAATTTTCTTGAGATGCTCGTTGCCATTTTCACTTCCATCACTTTCATCGTTGGGAATGATAATACTGCAATCAAATGACATTAGGAAGAAAGAACTGTTAGCTGAAAAGGGCCTGTTTATCTTTTTCTTTTTCTTTTTTTTCCTTTTTTGTGAACAAGAAACAATCTTTTAATAGAAGAAATAAAGTGATGATTTTCAACCGGTGAATTCAAGTTATGAAGCAAGAATCCCATCACCAATACACATTCTAGTCCTGTGCAAGTGTAAATGAGAGATCAAGAGAGAGAGGCTAACAAATTGGAAGAATGAAGAGAGCAACTCTGAGAGAGTAGACTTGATTGAAGCCTTCTCCATCATCTGGCAATCCACAGTTTTGAAACTGATCAGGAGAAATTACGTTTTGACTGCATGAAACTGATCTGTATGGGGTGAATTTATAGGGGATGAACTGGAAATGGGAATGACTTGGACAAATAAGGTTTAATCCAGGCTTTGCCAAGTGTTCTCTTCTCCAAAAGTCAGACACGTGGAATATTTATTTGAGCGGACGAAACTCTCAAATATTAGGGAACTTTATCTCCAAGAATCATATTTGTATTATCATGCGAAGGGAATTAAATAAACAGAAAATTCAAGAACATAAACCCCATCAGTATTGATTTCATTCATGCGGTTTGCTTTTGATTTCATGATCATTTGAGAGGCTATTATAACTGTTGTAATTTATGCTGCTTTTATATTATTGGCTGCTATTCATTAATAACTCTTAAAACTGAATCTAAATAGTACGTAGCACCAAAGCTTTAGTAACTGAAGGAAACCTTGGTATCAATTAACAAGTATTCCTATTAAAGTAGGGTTGCAAACGTCCAATCCAACCACTCACAAGGTTGTTCAATTAAAGCTTGAATTCGAGTTTGCTTTGATCAAGTTTGAACAACTTCATGAATTCCAAAAAAAAAAAAAAAATGACGAGTCCAAGCGTGAGCATTTGTATGTGATGAAACTTAAGAGTTTGTCAAGTTTGAATTCAAATTTGAACTCAAGTACTTTAGTTCAGATCGATCTCGAGTTGTTCACTAATTGAGTTCGAATTGACTTCATTACACCATATTCTTAAAACTGAAAGTAAATACAAACTGTTGCTTTCCCAATCGCAAGCAACAAAATTGTTCCTTCTTAAAATTACATGGTAGATCTGACTTTTTTTTGTTAAAGTTTCCGTGACATTTTTGCCAAATACCACATGGGGACCAAATCGGCGCGAATGTTGTTCCCATCATTGAAACACTACTCATAATTCAAGAGACATATCATCAAATGGAATGGAATTAGCAGTGTAACAGAGCACTAGAAACTGAGAAGGTAATTCCAGAAAAATCAAATACAAAAAAAAAAGAGAAAATTTTAAGATGTTGCTCTTATATAGTATAAATATAAAAGGATTCATAACATTAGAAATGGGAATACAACCTGCAGTGTACAATACAGGGACTCACAATATAATCCAAACTCCATCTGTTTCATAGGATCCCTACAAGGACCATTGAAACTGTGAAAATTTCCAAATTATATGGAAATCATTAGGCTATCACAACGAAGCAACAGATACGGCATATTCAATGATTGAAACAAGTTCAGGTAGAAAATGGTCTAGTTGGATGGTGGAGGTGAGAAGAAAGGAATTGAAGGAATTGACGTTGGGAGATTAGTTGGGATTGAAGGGATTGTGAATGGGATGTTTGGCAATGAAGTTGCAGCTGGTATGGGAGGGAGGGCACCCAGAGGAATTGTGGGAACTGTTGGCAATGCGGGGTTTGGCAAGGATGGAACATTTGTGGGTAATGTTGGCAGAGGAGTGGTTGGCAATGGTGGCAATGCTGCTGCTCCGGTGGGCAAGTTTGGCAGGGTGGGCAACGTCGGTATTGTTGGTTGTGAGGTTTGTAAAAGCTGGCGAGCCGCCTCGGTTACATGAATGCTTGGAAATGACAAAGCAATGATCAGAGATAGAAAGATGCAAAGGTTAGAAAAAGAAGAAGAAGCCATGCTGATTGATTGATGCAGAAGATCGAAGCTCCGCTTTGAGTTTCCAAGGTAGTAGGATTTTTTTGTGTATTTTGATCAGCTTAAAGGGGAAGACTAGGCTATTTAAAGGAAGCCCTTCAGCTTCAAGGATAAGTTCAAATGTAGTTGGACCAGTTTGAAGATGTATAGGTTGGTATGCCTTCTCAACTAGATTTTAGTTGCAAAAATTTTGACTGAGATAATTAAATCCTAAGTTCCTAACAGCATCCACCAACTGAAGAATAGATGTTGCAGTGGAATGAAAATAAGCATCAAAGTGGCAACTGGCAAATGAACACAAGGAGTTTTGATCAACTACCTCTCGACTTATGATGAGATCACAAAGGTTAGCAACTAAACATCACTTCTCTCAGGCACCTGTATACTCCAACAATGGGGGAGTCGGTTAGCAATTTGGGTTATTCTTAGATGGAGAATAATTAACGAAGAATCATGTTACATTCATCGTAAAATGCAGAGGATGCGTAGATTTGAATGTATGTGTCACCATTCTAATGAGCCTCCTCACTAAGAAGAACTCCATAGATTAGAAATTTCCCCGGGAATTTGGGGACTGAAAAAGGTACTGAATTGCTATGTTTTCAGAACCGGACCGGATAGCGACTCGGCCGAGGTCAGGGGTCAGGGGTCAATGGGTTCGACCGGGGGTCGATAGGGGTCGAACCGGATGACGTCATAAATAAAAATTATTTAAAAATTAAAATATTATATATATAATATCTAATAATATATTGATATTAATAAAGGCATATTCATATATATTTGATGTTTCAAATATATTTAACAAGAAAATACAAAGAAATTAGAACAATCAAGTAGCAATTTATATTATTTAATAAATATTAACAAGTTTAGAATTAAAATTATGAATTTAATTGAAAAATAACATCAAATTTTAGGACAATATTTATAAAGTATCAAATATTTGAGCTATATCAATAAGTTTTAACAATTTAGGGGGTCAAAACATAATATTAAAAAGTTTGAATTTTTTTAAAAAAAAATTACTGTTGAACCGGAAAAACCGGTTTTTTCCCGGTCAAACCCGGTTTTTGACCGGCTTTGACCGGATTTTAAATTTCCGGTTTTCTAATGTGACTCGGACCGGCTACCTGGCCGGTTTCCGGTTCGACCGGTTCGACCGGCCGGTCCGGTCCGAGTCTGAAAACAGAGCTGAATTGGGGTCTGATTGTTTCGACTGGAAAAGTGGGGAGAACAAGATAAAAAAGAAGTGGACATTTTGTCCATGAGAACCGGGGGGGGGGGGGGGGTGGTTTCCCAAGACATAAAAAAAAAAATCAAAAAGCATTTTTACATTGCCCTTCTAAAATCATTTAAAATTCTTGTTCGAAAGGACGGGTAGCATCATTCATAATTGAGCTTATTTCAGATTCTTAATCCATTTCGGATATTATTAGACTACTGTTATATATATATATATATATATATGACATTATTTTTAGTGACATTTTTATTGGATTATTGGTTTTTTTACTTTGATTCAAAGGAGACTCTGACCTTATAAGGGAGAAGAAGGAAAGGAAAGAGCATACGCTAAATCCTCTTTAATTGCAAGGTTTGAGATTAAAACTACAAACTTATACCCCAAATTAAAATTTTGAATCTCTATTAACAACCAACTTGTCTTTGACAAGCTGATTCTAGTGTCATAACACCTCTTTCCAGTAATAACATGCATGAAACCATTTTAAACCCATCTTTTTGTGTCATGGGTGATTCTCTTTCCTCAATACTAATGTAAAATATATATATATATATATATATATATTTCCTTATAATAACTTAGTTTTTGTATCCCTTAAAAACCCATGAATTAATTGTAAAGAAAATTAGCCAGGACCCATCATCGTACAAATTTAATGTGAGATTTTATGATGATTATCATCTATTAAAGAATCTCCAATGATCTGATGCCGATAAATAAGTAGATCGAGAAGCAATAATAAACTTATTCCTAAAAAAGCTACCATTTCTTGGTAGAAATTCAGTGTCAATCTTTTTCTGCTCCTATCATTGCAAATCAAAACGCTTCAGTAGTTGTAGTTCTTAACCAGTTTCAACAGTTTCTTAATCGCAATTATAATGTCAATCTATTTTTGTTCCTATCTTAGCAAATCTTCAGCTATTGTTCTTGTAATCAGACCAAATTGGTCTTGAAAGTGGAAGACAAGATGGAATGGGAAGAACATGCTATAGATCGGCTTTAAAACCTGTTGTTACGAAAGAGAAAATTCGTAGCATTTTGGTTTTGGGCCTCCAAAATTATTAAGGGACCCAATTGGAATTGAATAATTGACGGATTTGGTCCCTTTTTTCCCTCCTTCAATGAAAAATTTTGCAACCTAAAGGTCATCTGAATTTGGATTTCGGTTGACATGCAACCCCACAAAAAAAAAAAAGTTAAATTTACTTCACTTTTTTTTTTTTTAAGGTTTTAAAGAACTGTAATCACCGGAAGAAACAAGGTAAGCTCTTTTAAGTTTATAAGAGTGCTATGATGTTTACAAGTATATGCACAGCTGGTCAGCATAGAGCAAGCTTAATTATTGTTTATCAAAAAATATATTGATTCATAAATTTGATTTACATTAGAAAATACAAACAACGCTAAAGATAATTCATGTTGAGGGACGTCCATTAACATGAAAATGAGTTTTCAACCTAAGGTTTAGGGTTCAAGACTTTAAATTCTTAAATTCAAATTTCACTATATAATAATTCATATGAATTATTGTACAATTATCATGTACTTATTACGCAATAATTCATATGTTTGCATTTTTATTATTATTGAATTGTAATACATTAGGGATTCCGTTTACTGCATGCGGTCATGGTTGCACATGTTTTTGGCAGGTTTTACATGGAATTGTCAAGCACCAAATCCAACGAAGGTACCCAAGTAACGCTTGGCATTTGCCCCATTTTGCATTCAAATTTATTCAACATTCCTTTTTCACCCTATTGTGGAGGCGTTTTCCAACGCATGTTACAACCCTCTGATTGATGATTGATGAAGAGTGTCAGGCTAGAATATGCCCTCCAAATTTTATTTAGACTAATTCTTTAATCTACGTTCACAATTCATTTGGAAACAAAAAAAAAACAGCTTTATAATCACAGAATGAAGATGATATATATAAACGAAGATAAAAGTTATTTTTACTAATACTCACAAATAGATCTACAACACACGAACGCTCCAAGAATACAATGGATGAATACAGAAATGGAAATGGTTTACAAATCGCCAAAGTACAAATACATGTAACCAATGCGTAAAAAAGACAGAAATACTACACCAAACCATGAACATAAGATCAAACCGAACAGCTCATGAATCTACCAATATGGCGTAATGAAACCAAATGCAAGAACTCGAGCCTCCAGCACTAGTGAGATGGTGGTGGTGCTTGGACGGGGATTTTTGGAATGGATGGCAGTGGAGGTAGAGTGAACTTGGGAACAGATGGGAAAGATGGTAGGGTGGGTATTGGCAAGGATGGGAGCGGAGGTGTGCTTGGCAAAGTGGGCTTTGGCAGTGGTGCAGCAGCAGCTGGGATTTTAGGCAATGTGATGCTTGGCAAAGGTGGCAATGTTGCCTTAGGAATGCTTGGAATTGAAGGCAATGGAGGCATCCCAGCGGGTTTAGGAAGCGATGGGATCGTAGGCATTGTTGGAATCAATGGTGCCTGCAGCAGGTGGCGGGCTGCGAAACTCATTTGGAAGCTTGAGAAGAAGAATGCTACCATCAAGGAGAAAAGGAGACAATGGTTCAAGGCAGCCATTGTTTGATCAAAAGCACAAAAAGAGTGTGGCTAAAAGGGTTTGTACTTTCTTTTGTTTTGAGTTGAATGAATTGATTGGAACTGCATTGGCTATTTATAGTGAATTATAGATTTTGTGTGTTTGGAAAGTTCAAAGAGTTGGATAAAATGTAGTTGTGAAGAAATGGAGGATTTCTATTGTTAGTTCAACTTCTCAATTGATTTCAAACATAGGACAACATTCTTGATGAAGGTATGTGTATGGCTTGGTTGAGAAAAAACATGGAGTAGGTCTTACGTAATTTAAGCAAACAAATGAGGGGGAGTGACTGCAGTCGCGTGTCAAATAAGAGTTAGAAATTGGTAATACATTTGCTCCAAAATTGAGAAAAAGATAAGCTAGTGTTTCATATGATTAAACTATTAAAGGCTAAAAACATATGCCTGAAATAGTATAGTCTAGTCTGATAAGAGCAAATGTTAATGATTACCTTGGATTCTAAAGTCGAAAAACAAGAAATCAGTGATTAGGCTCCCCCAACCCCACTTTTCTCTTACTCTAAGTCGAAGTCAAACTTTTGATTAGAAAAAGGAAATCATTACTAGCTCAACCCTGTTACAATTTTTTTTTCCCTTCAAAGAAAGGAACATGTTAGTAACTCAAGGAATCATTAGAAACAGCCTGCAAAACGAAGAATTCTACCAAAATAATTTAAACTTTTACCCCTTTCATAATTCACTCAGAGCTCGCAATTTTGCTTCTCAATTAAAATTAAAAGGAAACACGAATGAAGATCTCGCAGCGCAGGCAGTACTACTTTTTAGATTCATAGCACCAGCTGGGAGTTTGACATTCATACATAACTAGGATAAATCTTCTACCAAATTGACACTTCAAATTCTCCTACCTCATCCATGATCACCTTAGCTCACTTTTCAATTTCCATGGGGTCATTGGTCCCCATCCCCAACATTAGTATGGACCATTTTAAACAGGGGGCACCGTCAAGATTCAGAAAATACAAAACCCTAAACTCATATTCAGCAGTGATAGAGACGAGGCCGCTTGTTACCCGGCAAAGCCTGGCCAGGAGTAGACAACATGATAGACCTGTCTACAACCACTTTCAGTGCTCTCCTTATTGTCGCCAGCCCTTCTTCTCCAGCTGCTGAAGCTTGCAGCCAAAGCACAGTTTTTGTTCTTCCCCCAACTGTTGCCATTTC